TAGTAGTAGTAAACCCGCGATGGGGTGGCATGTGCCTCAATAAAAATATTACAATCATTTATTATTATATCAATGTATCATTAAATATTTCAAAAATATCAATAACGTATGGTTGATCCTTCACACTTGGTAAAATATATAAAAATAAAGTTAATCTACACTAAAGAATGAATAATCTATATTATATAAATCAAAAATATTAACTCCCCATCTTCATGTAGTCATTTATCAAAGCGGTAGAAATCCAAGTAATTTTAGTACGCGGTGCGCAAGGAATTTCGTTTTTTTTTAAATGTGTAGGCAAGATAAGCCTAAGTGTGGCAGTGAAAATTGAAAAATAAGTTGCAGAATAAATTGCAGTGACTGACTGTCAAATGCATTATCGCAGTTCATTTATTTGACTGCACTAACGTTTAGGATTCTTACAGCTGTTATATTTTGCTAATATTTTGTTTAAAAGTTGTAAAGGACAAAGTTCTTTTCCGTCCACGAAAGGTTTTCTAGGTCAAGTTTTTGTTTGTCCAGTAAGTAACGTACAATGTTGTCCTTGTATGCATTAATAAACTTATCTTGTAACTTAGGTACGTTGAAGGGAAGGATTTTGTTTATTTCGTTTATCGTGTTGTTATATAATCGTGGTCCTACGTTAGAGATGCTATAATCGGTGATCCGTAATCTGTTGAACTTAATTTCAAAATACTTTGGATTTCTCCTTTCCGTTTGTCTAAGCGGTGATTTTTCAAATATACTACAGATACTCGATGGTGCTACTCCCATATAAACCTTGTGCATCAAAGTTAGACAGCTTTTAGCAATGAGATTAGGAAGAGCCAAAATTCCTATTTTGTTGAAGATGGATTTTGTGTGAGATGGTAGTTTACGTTTTTCTTTGTCGTAAAAATAGTTATGATATTCTGAATCAGTGGCGCGAATAGCTTTCTTTTGAGCAGAGAATAAAGACTGAATGGAATTTAAAGATTTAGTACCCCAAACAGTAGCGCAGTAATACAGGTGAGATTGAATTAAACTATTGTATAGCATTTTTTGAGCTTTATTCGGAATGGAACTTTTAAGTTTCATCATTACGCCTGCATTTCTGGATATTTTAGTCTTTAACTGTTTAATGTGCTGGCTCCAGCTAAGTTTTGAGTCAATAATGACACCTAAAAATCGTTCATGTTCACTTTTCACTAGTCGCTGTCCTTCTATACTAATATTTATATCCTCTGGTAATCTGTTAGTGAATATCATGTATTTAGTTTTTCCTACATTAAGTTTAAGACCGTTGTTTTTAACCCATGTCTGTACAGTATTTAATACTCTGTTTGCACGCATGTTCAGTTCAGTGTACGTGTCGGCAGAAACGATGATGTTTGCATCATCAGCGAAGAAAATATAATGGGCTATATCGCTTACATTTGCAAGGTCGTTTATGTAAATAATGAACAATATAGGACCAAGAATGGACCCTTGAGGAACTCCATGTTCCAATCCCATTTTTTCTGAACTGCAACCGTTGACGTGAACATACTGTTTCCGGTTAGTTAGATAAGACTCAAACCAGGATAAGCTAAGGCCTCTTACACCATAGTGCTCCAGCTTATGTAGCAGTATCTCACTGTCTACTAGGTCAAACGCCTTGGAGAAGTCAAGAAGCAGTAATGCTGACACTTGCTTCCTTTCTAGAGCTTTATGTATGTTAAACTGAGCTTCAAGCAACGCATGTTCACAACTGTGACCCGATCTAAAACCAAATTGCGATGCATATAGAATATTACGTGATTTTAGGTGCTTTACTAAACGTGCATGCATTATTTTTTCGAATATCTTTGAGAAGCAGGACAAAAGTGAGATTGGTCTGTAGTTTGTAATTTCGCTGCGCGATCCTCCTTTATGGAGTGGGATAACCTTAGCAAGTTTGAGCTTTTCGGGGAATACTCCTTCGTGAAGGGAGTGTGAGATCAGGTGATTAACTACTGGAGACAGCACATTGCAAACCTTTTTAAGAGGCTGTATATTCATATCTGAAGTCGATTTGTTCTTAAGATCATGTATGATTTCAGCAATTTCGGAGGGCGAGGAGTCCTCCAGCTCCATATCAAAATCACATCGACTAGATTGGGGAAGAGAATGTCCTACTGGGAGCCTATTATTAGCCCTCACCCTACCCCTTCGGTAGGGGGCTGGTGGTTATTGAGTGGTTGGGAGCCTATTATTAGCCCTCACCCTACCCCTTCGGTAGGGGGCTGGTGGTTATTGAGTGGTTGGGAGCCTATTATTGGCCCTCACCCTACCTCTTCGGTAGGGGGCTGGTGGTTATTGAGTGGTTGGGAGCCTATTATTAGCCCTCACCCTACCCCTTCGGTAGGGGTCTGGTGGTTATTGAGTGGTTGGGAGCCTATTATTAGCCCTCACCCTACCCCTTCGGTAGGGGGCTGGTGGTTATTGAGTGGTTGGGAGCCTATTATTAGCCCTCACCCTACCCCTTCGGTAGGGGGTCTGGTGGTTATTGAGTGGTTGGGAGCCTATTATTAGCCCTCACCCTACCTCTTCGGTAGGGGGCTGGTGGTTATTGAGTGGTTGGGAGCCTATTATTAGCCCTCACCCTACCTCTTCGGTAGGGGGCTGGTGGTTATTGAGTGGTTGGGAGCCTATTATTAGCCCTCACCCTACCCCTTCGGTAGGGGTCTGGTGGTTATTGAGTGGTTGGGAGCCTATTATTAGCCCTCACCCTACCCCTTCGGTAGGGGGCTGGTGGTTATTGAGTGGAGCCTATTATTAGCCCTCACCCTACCCCTTCGGTAGGGGTCTGGTGGTTATTGAGTGGTTGGGAGCCTATTATTAGCCCTTACCCTACCTCTTCGGTAGGGGGCTGGTGGTTATTGAGTGGTTGGGAGCCTATTATTAGCCCTCACCCTACCCCTTCGGTAGGGGTCTGGTGGTTATTGAGTGGTTGGGAGCCTATTATTAGCCCTTACCCTACCTCTTCGGTAGGGGGCTGGTGGTTATTGAGTGGTTGGGAGCCTATTATTAGCCCTCACCCTACCCCTTCGGTAGGGGGCTGGTGGTTATTGAGTGGTTGGGAGCCTATTATTAGCCCTCACCCTACCCCTTCGGTAGGGGGCTGGTGGTTATTGAGTGGTTGGGAGCCTATATTAGCCCTCACCCTACCCCTTCGGTAGGGGCTGGTGGTTATTGAGTGGTTGGGAGCCTATTATTAGCCCTCACCCTACCCCTTCGGTAGGGGGCTGGTGGTTATTGAGTGGTTGGGAGCCTATTATTAGCCCTCACCCTACCCTTCGGTAGGGGGGCTGGTGGTTATTGAGTGGTTGGGAGCCTATTATTAGCCTCACCCTACCCCTTCGGTAGGGGGCTGGGGGGGGTTTTTGGTGGTTGGGGCCCAATTACCCTCACCCAACCCCTTCGTAGGGGGAAAAGGGGGCAAATTTTATATACATGTTCATGAACCCAATTTGTGTTGCACGATGTATAACCAAAAGTACGGGACTTTTGTCAAATTCATGCGTACTCCATTTTACCGATTTATAAAAATTTCCATGAAACGAACTTAAATCCCGATTTTAAAATTGCACGTGGAATAACACCATTACACATGGTCATACGCAATGACCTTTAACAGACCCACAATGCACAATTTTAGCAAGGATCAATATTTGAATCGCTTGGATGATGATTAATCACTCTACACTCGACTGTCACCGTGACTTTTTTAACCCGTTCTCTAGTGGTTCTGACGACTTTTCGAAACTCCTAACCCTCTAATCTGATCCAACACTAACCCTAAACCAATCGTTAAACAAAAACATTTGCTGAAACTCATAACCTAACGAGAAATTAGGCTAACTGCACTTATACGGTCTTATCACGTGATCGATACAGTTTTTTTCGCCAATATCTCTTCAGGAGAGCATTTTAACCTTATGTTATGGGGGTCGATTCGGAATCAGGCGTCCGACATATACTTCGATTGAAGTTGGTTACAACCATCGGAGGCCCTTTTAGAATAATCTCGAAGATCGACTGTGTAGAGTGATTTAGCACGCTCGAATCAGGATCACATCTTAGGGGACATTGAGCGATCAAATTGAATACCTAGTTAAACGATATATGACACCTAACTTAGCACTGCAAATATAAAACATTGATATCTAAAAAAGATGTCTAGAATATATTTTGTGACTCGCACCCCAGTGAAAATATCGTTTTTTTTTGAAGTTTTTTGACATCCGTTGTTGTACATATTTTAGGCATTTATCGGAGATAAATACAGTACAGGCTGTACATTACACACATTTCACAAGCATGCAAGCTCAACCGTGTCCAAATGAGCGGGAAACAGTGAAACAAGGTCTGGTGACGTCTGTAGTCACGTGACCTCAGGGTCATTAATCCCACGTGACCTCAGACCATCAATGGGGTTCTGGCTGGTCAGCCCCTGTACCGATCTTGAGGTGTACGTAAACGACACTTCGTTAACCCTATCAAGTTTCGGGAAGGCTGCAAATTTTCACATGCCAATCCCTTAATTCTTAAAGAGGTGTTCGGGATGACGATAATAGAGGCCGCGAATTATGAGGGACTACCAGATCCTGGATGTGGAACCTCTAAGCGAGCCATGATATCCCCGACGGGCCCTATTTATCATTCGTTTTGTTACATTGGGTTGTAATATACAATATGAATACGTACTTTTTCAAGCTAGAAAGTTTACAATATACGGCGAGAATGTAAAATGAAAGCTAACAAACTCTTTAGTTATTCCTCTCCGATCCTTTGCGTCCTGCATGGTTTCCCTGGTCGCCGATACCTGTGCGCGGCGCTCTTTTCAAGCTCCCTGAATATGCAAGTGAGAAGAAGCGAGCGAATATAGGACTAGCGAAGCTAGTTCTGTGTTAGTGTTACAGAGTCAAAACTTTTGTTTTTAAAACATGGAACAAGGTCAGCTAATAAGTTAAATACGTTTAACAACTTATGGGCAGAGTAAGAGCCAAGTTTTCCAACATGGATGTTACTGGTTTCCCTTATCAGAATCTCACATAGTCTTAGTACAGTTAAGTCTGTTTATTGTTGCCTGTCCTAACCAGCCTGAGCTTTTTGTTATTCCACTTGCCAGCCGAACACCATTCTTTGTCGCCAACTTTTATATAAGTTCTGTATTATTTGCTGACCGATTCAAATCAAACAACTTTAGGGCCCGTTGCAGATAGAAAAGGGGCATAGTCGGCCATTACGGATTCTGTGCCATATTACGGCATTACTGTGCCATTTTACGGCAATTACTGTGCCGTTACTGTTGCCATTACGGCATTACTGTGCCGTTTCCTGTGCCCTAGTACGGCATTTACTGTGCCTTACGACCAAGAATGTGCCATAATACGGCTCACTGTGCCATTCCGGCCATTTCTGTGCATATTACGGCATTACTGTGCCGTTACTGTGCCATATTACGGCATTATGTGCCATACGGCATTACTGTGGCGTGCTCAGTCTGTCATCTATCTCCACACTGAGCCTTCGTCTCCAGGTATAGTAATTAAGTAGGCCAATGAAATGATTTGATTCTTAAGGGTAACTATTATTATCATTGCTTTTTGAGGAACTGCCAGTTTAAGTGGGTGGACTGATGACAATTGTATAATGATAAAGGGGAAATAAACATCGTCAAAATTTCTGGAAACTACTTTAATTTAAATTTTACAAATAAAAGCAGCATTCATAAACATTAAACCGGCAGTTAGTTAACATAAATATAACAACAGCTAATACACAAAATAAATCTGATTAAAACATGCAAACTACTATACTACTACTACTAGATATTAGCTAAGATCGTACATCTGTCATTTATGCTATAAATATTGAAGAAATAAAAAAAAAAGGACGTAAGCGAACGGTCTATCCATCGTAAAGGACAAAAATCAAAATGCATACCCTTCTATTTACTGGGCACCTCCCGTCACTCACACCAAAAACTGTGGTAAAGTATTAAAAAAAAAAAGACTCGACTACGTCTTTTTTAGTGGAGTCACTCCACGTGGTGTGACGTCCATACTCGTGTGTTTGTGAGGGAAACTGTGCAGTTTTACTGATTCAGCGTATGGCCAGGGGGATCCCGATAACTCACTCTGACAAGATTTTTTTTAGATTCTTAGTAGTGTATACTAAATATAAATTGACTATTTCGTAATTCGTGAGCTTGTTCAACTTCATCATCATGTGTGTTCAAAGATTCCAGTGTATTGCTCCCCTTTATATACTAATAGCAACTCTTATTTTAGGACAACTCAGGCTACCAGCAGCTTCTACGATGGAGAAATGTCCCCGTTTCCGAGAGGGCGACGAGGCACTGCATCTCTCTGTGTTTGTAATTTCCCGGTTTGTCTTGCAACTTGGCGGTCTTTCTAGTGGCCTTTGGAGCAGTAACCTGAAAGGAAGAATTTAAACCAGAGAGTACATCGAGCTTGGAATGGTAAAATATGGTTAAAATTGTTAAATTGTTTAAAATATGTTTTAAAATATGTTTAAATATGTTAAAATATGTTAAATATGTTTTAAAATCTGTTAAAATATGTTAAATGTGTTAAGTACACTTGTAAATTCCACTATATGTTGACAAATCGAGTGAAGTACACTTGTTGACTGGGGTGCTGTATAAAGGTAAATCTCTGCGCTCTCCTCAAGAAAGATAGGGTTTCACGGGATGGTTCTCCCCGAATGTGCCGTGTGCGTTTGTAGAGGGTGGGTATTTGCTGACGTAAAAAACTTCCCTCCCGCACTATCAAATCTTCATCTGGCAGGTATATATTAATCTAATAATATGGTTAGGGATTGTAATTACACCTTCTAGACGTCCTGTTTTCATTTCTTACAGCGTTTCGGGACGCATATGAACAGTAGCACCTTTTCTGAGGATATCTCTCCTTAGCTGGATAATGGAAAGTCTTGCCTTTGAGGAACATTACTCTTTTTAGCTGTTTCAGTAACTAGTAAATCTAACCCTTATTTTACTTCGGACATTCCAACAGCCAACATTGTTACACGAATGTAACCAGCCCATAAACAGGAAGCCGATGGATTCATTATACATTTCTTCGCCCCGAGACCTTTTATGCAATGGGCAGCTCCTATGTAACCCTCACACCCCGATTCTCTAAAATTCGGCTGCGTGGACCACTCCGAATCCTTAGTCATGACGCTCACCCATGGTGGTAGCTCAGCTGGGAACGAAACCTGGTACCTCGCGAATAACAAGCGGCGGACCGGACTTAGCAAGATTAAAACTATTTGCATATTTTAGAAAAAAGTGATTAGATTCTAGAACAGTTATTCCGAAATGGGTTCTGTCTTCATCCAGTTTGAAACTAGAAAGAAAGCGGGGATGCACCACACTGGACAAATTAATACCCTTCATTTTGCGGGAGTACTTGTATGATTAGTAAAGTGGGGGGTTATAGACTAGACGTTGCTGAGCAGGGAAATATTGGTTTAATTAGAATGGTCGTGGGAAGTAGAAGGCTAGATACTGTGTAACAGTGAGCCAGAGGACAATGAGGCTACCTGTTAGTAAGAACGGGCCGGGGGAGGTCTGAACTTTGTAGTCTTTTTCAGCATCCACGTCGGCTTGTGACGTCACTCCACGTGGTGTGACGTCCCTACACGTGGGTGTGCCCGTCATCCACGTGGTGTGAGGCGGATACCTGTTTAGTAAGAACGGCAAAGAATGAATTTTTCAAAGTTTTTAGTATAAGCTTTGCTTAATTTTGACGCTAACCTCAGTAAAGCCGCGGCTGGTACACCACAAAAAGACCCAATAAAACAAAATCCTTGCACAAAACTCATTTTACGTTTTGTTGGTTCTCACCTCGTTATTGAGCGAAGTACTACACGCTTTAGCACACAGTATGGCACGTGATATGTAGTCAATACGGTCCCACAGGGTAAAGTTATCAGTGTCCCGGTCCCGGTCTGCTAGTTTAGCTAGGATCCTGGCAGCTGCACTGTAGTTCTTCTCTTTCTCGTAATACTTCCACATTATATCCCTGCAACATGTCATAATCATGTCATGTACAGAATTTGTACTGAACGATGAAACTCTGATTACTTGATAAATCAGGATCCCCGAAAACCAACGACAATTGCTCTTCCAAGAGTCTCAAGTTTGGATGAACGATATAACTAAATAAACTGCAGCTATCGTCAGTGCCCCCCCCCCCCCCCCCTCCGTCAATGGTTTAGAAACTAAGTATACCACTTACAGAATCTGTAGGTTATCAGGCTGTTTAGCAGCTCTCCTCAGATACGGTTCCAAGTAACTGCTCTTAATGGCAAGGAGCCGGTTAACAAGCCCGTTTCCAATCAGCCACTCGTACAGAAAGACGTGGAATACCTCGTCATTGCTCCGGTAACAGAAGTCCAGCATGGTCGTCAACTGCTTCTCTGCTTCTGCCGCGCTGCTTACCTTGACGCCTGACGTTTGCGAATTTAGGAATCTGATTACAACTGATAGGGTTCATTTCACGACCCCAACGGTTGAAGATACTGAGTCGTCTGGTTAAAATGTTAGTTATCTAGTAACATAATATAATTCTTCAACACCGAGTTTAGCAAGGGGTTATGTTTTGTATTCTGACCTGTGTTGTTGTGAATACCACTAGCGCCCTGGGACATTGCTAGCAGATTGTTTAGTGTGTTTGTAATACAAGTGTAGCAGTGCCTTCTAGCCACCAACAACTGTTCTCCTGCATCTTCACCTGTAATAAAACTGACTGACTGACTGATCGACTGACTGACTAGATGACTGACTGACTGACTGATCGACTGACTGACTGACTGGCTGGCTGGCTGGCTGACTGACTGACTGACTGACTGACTGACTGACTGACTGACTGACTGACTGATTGACTGACTGACTGACTGACTGACTGACTGACTGACTGACTGACTGACTGACTGACTGACTGGCTGGCTGGCTGACTGACTGACTGACTGACTGACTGACTGACTGACTGACTGACTGACTGACTGACTGACTGACTGACTGACTGACTGACTGACTGACTGACTGACTGACCAGTATGGGTAAGATGAACAGCTAAGTTCTGGTTATCCTGCTCAGCTGCTGTTGCCAGACACAGCTCCACGATACCCTCATAGAAACCCACACTGGCGTATTGGTTGCAAATACCACCCAGGTCTATGTTAACTGTCACCTGCCTGAACAAATAAGTGGGTTTACTGTCACCTGCCTGAACAAATAAGTGGGTTAACTGTCACCTGCCTGAACAAGTACGTGGGTTAACTGTCACCTGCCTGAACAAATAAGTGGGTTATTTGGGGGGACCAATCATTTAGGAAAAATATTTAAAACAAATAATATCATCTGGCATGCTGTTCAGGCTACAATTTGTCTCATCAGAAAGAATAAATTTATTGTAATATTGATGAATTATGGTTGCTTTACTTGAAAAGTTCAAGACTCTTATGAAGCATAGTTGTTTGTTCCGTTTTGTTGGTCTGATGTTTTGCGCTTTGTAAAAGTTCGTTCGCTTTTGTAGTTTTCAGGTCAGCTGCTCCGTACAGATTAGGACAGATCTCTCGTAACCTGAAATTTAAATAGTTAAGAGGTCAGATACTTATTACTTACTTACCAGCAAATACTGAACAATTGATAGTAATCAGATGAGTAATTAGGTGAAATAGTATATCAAAATATCTGTAAATATCACCAGTCTTGCTAAAAACAACCTATTCCTTGGAATACAAATTATGTATAAAAACCGTTGAATCGAATTAGGGAGGTGATCCATGATGTCTGTGCATGTCCACGTATGTTATCCGTGGGTTTGAGTATATTGGTTTGTGCTAGAGCTAGGTTATCTTATCTGTACATCTGTACAGGTAAAATTCTTAAAATTGTCGTTTCCGGCAATAAAACGTCTAAATAGGATTCCGACAACAAGCTTAATGACGGTCGAGCTAACCGACTCCTGGTTACCCTGGTTACTACTGGTAGTTACAGAGGCAACATATAGGTGCGGTAAAATTATGCAAATAGTGCGAACCTGCCTCAATTATTTTATGTGCGGCAAATTTGGAGGAAAAAAACACCGTGATCTAATACTCTACTCTTTAATATTTGCTCAAGAAACTTCAATACTCTAGAGCATTTTAACTAAACTGTAACTTGAGACTAAAGTTAAAGAATATACGTACATATATACAATTATCGCTGCTCACATTACCTAACATCGCATGTCCAATTTTTTCAAAATTGAGATTTTTACATATCACGAATCTACGTTCAATTCCACACATCTTAAGTACAGTTTCAAAGCAAAATTCAGCAAACAATTTTCCAAACATTGTATCTCCACATTAACGATGAGAATTTGTTGTTTTTACAAACATTGTATGTGCATTTAAAGATAATATTCAAATAATGTATATTTTTTGGAAACAAAGGAAACAAGAGGGAATGTTGAGACACAAGGGTTCAGCGGCTATCGCCTATCCCTCTACATAGAGCTGCTCTAGTTTGCTAACATTCACTTCTGCTCCAGGGACGATTTCCGATAGTTTTAATGTTATGTCATGAAAAACTTTGATTTTAACCGGTAGAACGAATGACGGCAGGTATAGGTGTATTATGTCAATAATGCGATTCCGCACCCACCGCACTTATATACTGCCTCTGCATAAGAACTGTATATCTGCTTGACCAGAGTTGCAAAGATCCAGCACACTGCTTATTATGGAGTTTCTTGGACTTGTTGCAGAACATGTCTTCACGGTTAAACTTGCCCAGTAAATTTTGTCGTAGCGACTGCCCAGTTTGATATGAGTTGCCGTATAGTCGTCTACTTTGAGACCTTTAGTTCAGAAGACGATATAGACCCCGTCCTTTATTTGCTTGCCCAGCTGAACTCGACACCCCTTCATGAGCTGTATAACATGAGCTGTATATAAGATTATATAACACATAGTATACACACACAACTCATTGTCCACATTGAAAGAAGTGGAGCAAGTGTCGTTGCTCAGCGAGTGTGAGTGAGTGAGAGTGACTATTTGAATAATAAAGTTTTAACTGCTCGTTAGTTTTGTTGATTATATATTTTTAATTGCCGTGGTTCTATTCCTCTGGGATGGCAAATAAAACATACCACGATATTATAGGCAAACAAATTGTCAGCTAAGAAGTATCGAGGTAACGAACTTCAATAAGTAGTCTATACTTTGACTTCTGCTAGAACTTGCTCTTTATTCGGCCATCTTGGGCGCTGCTAAATATATGAGGGAATTAGTCCTAAATAGAAACGTCAGGTTTGAATTCTGAGTTCCCTGTCGATTGTAACTTGTAATTAACTAACCAGCTGATGATCATTATGATCATCAGCTGGTTCAGGACAGAAATAATTGCCAGAACCCTGATTATTGAAGTTAAGGCAGGTAAACACCTAGAAGATCCCAAGGAAGATGCTGGGCACTGCAATCAACCGAGCCTGCTAGCGCCCCATCTCAAAAACTAGCGAGGAAAATTGAAATTACTATTTTTTATGGCGAATATCAATAAATTCCTAGATCAGTAACTATGTTATCGTAAACCCTTTTATCCCAGAAAAAAATGGAATCGGAAAATGACGAAAAAACTCTGCTGACAGCTGCAATTGAAGGGAAACCGTCTTCAAGAGAGTCACTTACCATAGGAGAGGCTATAGAACGATTGGGATGTGGATTTGGTTCGGTTTTGTACGGCTTAGGGCCATATTGCTTCTTGCTTATGGAAGGAGCCGAAGTTGCTGTAATGTCAGTAGTAAGCTTGATTTTGAAATGCGAGTGGGGCCTGTCAACTTTCTGGACTTCAGCACTTCAAATTATCAGTATGGTTACTTGTACAATATTCGGCTTCCTTCTATCTCATTTAGGCGATAGATTTGGAAGAAGGAAACTATTAATCATCACAACCATCTCCATGCTTTCAGCAGGACTCTTGTCAGGGCTCGCTGGGAATCTTTGGCAGTTACTTATCTGCAGGGCCATTGTTGGGGCAAGTGAGGGCATTGGAGCTGGTCCTGCGGCAACCTATTCAGCAGAAATACCAACGATAAAATACAGGTCACTCAGCATGTCATCAGTTGGAATTGGTTGGGGTATTGGGACAGCACTTAGCGGTGCATTGGCTTATCTTACGCTTGGACCATATGGGTGGCGGGGTTATTTGATCATCATTGCACTTCTCTGTTAACCAATCTTAGTCCTTCTCTTAATAATCAGAGAGTCTCCCAGGCATGATGTCCGGATAGGTAAATTGGAAAATGCTCAAGAAACTTTGAAAACACTAGCCAACTTGAACTGCACTAAAGAACTGGGGGAGGTTGAAATTACCCAGGACAAGAATTCTGAGGAACTGGAAATAACAACCTTTTACCAAAGTTATCAAATTTTGAGGACAACAGGGTATCTATCAGATTTTTGGAAGCTTGTGATCATAACATTAACGGGACAGTCAGTTTATATGGGTCTTATTTATGCAGCTCCTCTCTTTATGGACGAAGGTCCTTGCCATACGGTGAAAATCACACAGAAACAGTCTTCCCAGTCCTGCTCATTTGATAATTCTGTTTTATTTGATCTTGGGGTCATCGGACTAGCTGACCCAATTGCTGTAGCCATAGGACTGCTTCTCGTTGATAAGATAGGGAGAAGAAAATTGTTTTTTATCTCCAGCCTTATTCCAGTTTTTGTTTTCATCCCACTTTACTTCTGCATACCTTCCGCTTTGAAGTTGACGGTCCTCCTTATAACCAGAGGTACACTAGCCGTAATGGGCTGGTTAAACTTCGTCCTTGCTTCCGAATATTTTCCAACATCCGTCAGATCATTTACATCTTCGATAATGAACAGTTGCTACAGCTTAGCCAGTATAATTGCTTCTGTGGCTGTTCAATATGCATATCACGAAAGTTCGGGTTTAGTTGTAATTATGATGCAAACCGCACTATTGGTTACAACCGGTGTAATATACGGCATCAAGAGGGAAATGACAGGTGAACAACTTGAACAATAGAAATTTAGCTGATATCAGCCGCGGAGATTGATAGAGACTTGTAGATTTGGGGGGGGGGGGGGGGGGGGGGGGGGGGGGGGGGGGGGGCAACCATATTAAAGTATATTAAAATGTAGGATTTTTCCCGATTTTGACCCGGGGATATACTTTAATATACTTTAATATACCTACAATACACTTTAATATATATTTATCTCCTCGGAGGTCTACATCAAAAATTGTTGCCCAAAATAAGCTTGAAATGCAATTCTTAATCGATTCCAAAAAGTTCTTGAAAAAATATTGAAAACTGATGGAGTTATTTCAATTTTAATGAAGTCATTTTGGCTAGTATTCCGAACCGAGATATTATAAATAATAATAATAAAATTTGGTAGCTTAAACACAAACTCTAAGCCCAGTGGATAAACCACAAAACTTATGCTCTATTGTGTGAAACAAAGATACTAGATCAAGACAACTATCAAGGATTGTATGCATAGGACATAAAAAGTTTTGGAACGAAGATGACATGCTTATGAAGCGAGCTAACAGTCTAATTGCTAATAAGTTCAAAAAGATCATGACATTAGGTTGCATCCTAAACAGTTTAAGCAAATAACATAAAGTTATATTGTCAATTAATTATGTACAATTTTCCCAATTTTGTTCATGGAGGTCTTTTTACTTAGTATCCACTATATTCAACAAACACTGAGTTATATCTTTCACATAGAGTTAGTCTCATTAAAACATATTGAAATTTTATCGAATTTGGGCAAAAGCGAATTTGGGCAAAAGCGTATGCCCAAATATGGGTATATTTTTTAAAGCTCATAGCTCAGCCAATTTTTGACCAATCTGGATGGAAATTCATGTACTATTCCTAAAACAGGCTTATCTTGCGAATCTGAGTGAAAAATATAGTTCATCATGTAAATCTTAACGAAGAATATAAATCTTCTAATTGTAGGTATATAAAATATATTAAAATGTAGGATTTTTTCCGATTTTGACCCGGGGATATACTTTAATATACTTTAATATGGTTGCCCCCCCCCCCCCCCCCCCCCCCCCCCCCAGATTTATTTGCTAACTTTTTCGCTAATACATATAGATACTGTATTGAGAATTTGTGTAAACAGGCTTTTAAAGAATTTCATCACCAAATGTGTATTATGAAGATTTGTGACTTTCACCGTACAAATTAACCTAAGCAAAGAGATCACGTTTCAAAAAAAAAACATTTTAAAATTTCATTGAATTTTTAAATATATTGTATGTCAACTTTAAGGGAATATCTGCAGTCTTCAATCCAACTTCCTAAGTTTCACAGAGAAGGTAAGCAGTTAGCGGGGGGGTACCAATGGCATAAATGGCATAATGGAGAATTGGCCAATAAAAATTTCCATTTATGCCATAAAACGTATGCCATTTATGCCATTTTTGATATAATACATTTCTATTTTCTTTATTTGTCATATGAATCTTTAACAATCATTCCAAGCGTTTATAAAGCATGAAACATGTCTCTTATTCAAGTACTAATAATAATTTGCGAATTTTAAAGTCAAATATGAAGACCTAAATTCATGCATAAATGGAGAATTGGCCAATAAAAATTTCCATTTATATTATGCCATAATATTATGCCATTTATATTATGCCATAAAACGTATGCCATTTATGCCATTTTATGCCATTGGTACCCCCCCCCCCCCCCCCCAGTTAGCAGACCGAACCCCAACCACTCAATAACCACCAGCCCCCCTAACCGAAGGGGTAGGGTAAGGGCTAATAATAGACTCCTAGGACCCCACTTCAATAACCCCAGCCCCCCTACCGAAGGGGTAGGGTAAGGGCTAATAATAGGCTCCTAACCACTCAATACCCACCAGCCCCCTACAGAAGGGGTAGGGTGAGGGCTAATAATAGGCTCCTAGTCAATAACCACCAGCCCCCTACCGAAGGGGTAGGGTGAGGGCTAATAATAGGCTCCTAGTCAATAACCACCAGCCCCCTACCGAAGGGGTAGGGTAAGGGCTAATAATAGGCTCCTAGGGACCACTCATATCCACCAGCCCCCCTACCGAAGGGGTAGGGTGAGGGCTAATATAGGCTCCTAGGACCACTCAATAACCACCCAGCCCCCTACCGAAGGGGTAGGGGTAAGGGCTAATAAAGGGCTCCTAGGACCACTCAATAACCACCAGCCCCCTACCGAAGGGGTAGGGTGAGGGCTAATAATAGGCTCCTAGGACCACTCAATAACCACCAGCCCCCTACCGAAGGGGTAGGGTGAGGGCTAATAATAGGCTCCTATGACGAGGATTCGGTCCACCAATCAGTTTACTTAGGAGGACTGTTAAAAAGACTTCGGATAACCTCTAACATTAGATTGGTTGTATTTCTCTCGTCTTACTGATCTTATTTATTATTAATCGGTTACGAAGATAGTAAAAACATACGGAACCAATTCCATTTTCAAATATAACTGAATTAAATAACTAAATCCAGCAACTATGTAGTTAAATACAATGTGACAGGAGCACATGTGGAAGGTCGGATTTACGAAGAACCTCTCATCATAACTATAAATACAGGACATAGTTATTAAAGACCCCCTCCCCCCGGCCCCTTAAAGACCAACCTGGCACTGAGGGCATCTGTCAAGTTGGAGTCCCGAAAATCTCTCCATATCGAGCGTGATAAGAGCTACAGTTATCTGCTTACCACTTACAACTAAATCTTCTGAACGTCGTTTCTGCAGAGGGTCCTTCTTGATATTCTGAGATTTTGAGCGTCAGAAAGTTGTAACCCTGGTTTTAGAATTGTGTATTATATATTATTTTTATGATGAGACAAAAAATAAGTGGTAGTACTGCTCTGTACCCTTCAGCAGACTACTAGTCTGATCGCTGTACAAGGAGATTAGTCATTCATTCCGATATGATTATTTGAAATATTATCATACAGATTACAGACTGGTGAATGTATCAAAGTTGCATGTAATATTTATTGATAAACCCCTGATATAGCTAAAAGTTTTAACTATCGATAGCTAAAAGTTTTAACTATCGATATAAGAAGTGCAGTGATAAATTCATAAATTGCGGCGAAACAAAATTTATAAATAAAATTTAGCAGTACGTTTTAAATGCTTACAAATGTGCTTTTACACAATACAATATGGCGCGGAGATCGCGCGCAAAAAACTTTCTACAACTCCGTCGACTAGACAGGAATGGTTTTAAGTCATTACATAATAATTGTGATGATGCAGCGATTAAATGGTCAATGAAAACTAAATTCATATTACAGTCCAGAAAAAGTAACTGAAATTTACCATTGGAAGTCTTTCCGCAACAAGATGAAACTGGTATTCGCAAAGTACCTATCCACAACTCTAACGCTTCGACACTGTACTGAACCAGTAGTCTCAGTTAGCAACACTGAGTTTCGTTCCAGTGCTTCAGCCTGAAAATTCAAGAATAAGTCGGGTATGATTTAGAGAATTGCAGTTCTGGTTTATCAGAAAATGCCGTACTGTTCCAGAAATTAAAAAGGGTAAAAACAGTTTCGTTCAAACAGCGGCCCGTGATTTAGGTTTCGTATTATATATTCAGGTAATAACCACATGGTGGCCGGGTAAATGGACAGGTACCTGACTGCCACTTTGGGGGCCCGGCGCGTGAGGTGAGTCAGTGGGTGTTGGGAAAGGGGGGTTTGCGGAGCTATCTAAAGGAAGTCTTGGGCGGACAGTTGCTCTGTGAACCACGCAAAATTCAATGTAAACCCCTGGACGAGTTATTGTGCAACTACGCTACAAACCGCAATGTTTGTATTATACAATGTTTACTGAAAATTTTTAGCTTCCTGGATCACATTTTTCCCCCAAAAAAAACCATCAGCACACAGACACACCCCCCAAAAACAAACACACAACACACACAGACGATTCCTTCCTTTAAACAGGGTTATCGGAGACTGGTTCTTCCACCAGTTTGCCGTAAAAGGGGACCCAGTGTCTCGCAAAGTAAAGAAAAATCGGCGTGCTTACACTGTACCCACTTCGTTAGGCTTATAGCCCCCCCAGTGACTGTGTCGGCTGAAGGAGTAACTACAGATTTCAATAATTTAAACTAGAATAGAAAAAAATATCTGAACTTCGTTAAGTTACCACAGGCTTGTTTAATGTTAAAATAGTAAAATTCCTTACCCTCTATTGTGATAGTGTTGAGCATGGTATTTTTTTAGGGCCCAGTAGGGGTGTTGGGGTTTTCCCCCCACAGTTGTGCTGCTGAAAGTGCCACTGCGCAGTGTTGGTCGCCTCCTAAATTGAAAAAAGGACGTGCAGCGCGGGGACGGATCAGGTGTCTGTCCCCCAGGATTGCACGCGGATCAGTGCTGTGATTTCCTTCTTTTCGGGGCACTTTTAAAAGTTACGTGCCTCTGGTCCTACCTTTTGTACTCTCCGAAAGTGAAGGATGGTTACGGGTGGAGAGATTTTAGGAAAAAGGTCCCCCTGGGAGGTAGGAGGATCGTGCGTAAAAAAGGTTTGACGTGCGGGGCACACTATGTTGGGGGAAGTGTTCGCGTACCTCCCGGCAAATTGTTTTTTGTGAGCGGGTTTAAAGGGGATGGTCTGGTTGTTGGTTGCCCCCATTTATTTTAATTACAAAATTTTCATCTCAATTTTCGTTTAAACACCCCTCTACTTTCCCTCAAAAAAGCAAGGTTAGGGCCTTTCCCGACCCCGACTCTCCCTCGGGCCGTTGTGAGGTGGGTCTCTGAGTAGGTGGTAAAAAACCAAATGTGTCGGGAGATGCTCTTTAAATCTTACTGTCTTTCTGTGACATACAATCTGAAATTCCCTTTTAAAGTACCGTGGTAAAATTTAACTATGCAACAAAAAAAAAATGGGTCTTATAAACTTAATAAGTTAATAGGCCCCCCTCCCCCAGGTTTATATAGCCCCCCCCAGAGTTATAGGTCCCTTTTTGTTTTAGAGTCCCCAGGTTTATATAGCCCCCCAAGGTTTTTGTCCCCTCCCCAGAGTTTTAGTCCCCCCCCCCCCTACAAGAAAAACCCGGGGTTCCCATCTTAGCTGTTTAAAGGCATGCGATTTTGCGGGTGACGGCCAGCCCCCCCCGCCCATTTTAATTCCATACCGAATTTGAAAATGAGAAACCGTTGTTTTTTTTTTTAAAAACTTTATGCCCCCTGAACGGTTTTGTCAAAAATAGTAAATAAATATAACTTATAACCAGTTCTAAAAAATTTTTGCCTAATGGGATAGTCCCTTTCATGGTGAAATGAAATTAACAATTTACTTGGTCGTTCAGCCCCCGCGGAAACAATTTTTTAAATTTGGGAATTTCTGAAAAATAATTTGTGCAGGCTAGTTAAAAACGTGGGCGTTTTGGGCGCGCAGGACCCCACATCCAGAAAGTTTTTATTTCCCCCCAATGCTTTTTTTTTTCTTAAAATTCTTGGGGCCCAATTCACGGCAGGGACGTAGCCGGGGATTTTTCTTTGGGGGGGGTGTCGGCGAGCGTAGCGAAGCCTTAGGGGGGTTGGGAGGGCAGCCCCAGGAAAATTTTTTGCAAAAGGGTTTTTAGAGACTTTTGGCATTCAAGAAATTTGTAGGAAGCAAAAAGGGGGGGTTTGAAAGAAATCAAGTACTAGAAAATTTTGGAAAACTTCACAACGCAATCGCATTCTAAATCAGTATTTCACTGCGTTCCAAAACTGACAGGTGTTCCTTTTTGTTTTTTATACAATCAAAAAAATTTTCTTCAAAATTTCCCAATTAATTTTCTTTATCCAAAAAAATTTTCGAAAATTTTGGGTAAAATTTTTCAAAAATTTCCTCTTTTTCTCCCTTTTTTTCCCCAAAAAAAATGTTCTCCCCCGGCGCCCGTCAAAATGGCGTGTTTCTGGGGGGTGGGGAGGCACGCCGGTGCCCCCGTTCGCTAACCCTTGTCCTTGGCCTTTTTGCCTTTGGGATTTGAGCCATGGTCTGGAAAAAATAAGTTTAAAAAGTTTAAAATGTAACGATTACCCCTAGCTGATAGCAAGATGAACATGGGGTGCTGGGGGGGGGGCCATTAGGGCGAAGCCCGGTGGCTTTTTTGAGTGAGCCAGGGACAGGGGGCTGTACCCTCCCCCCGGATGCTGCGTTTTTACTGAGTAGAGAGTACTCCTGAGCTTGTCACTCCTGAGAGACCCTTTTTGTGTTCGACCGATTATTCTTTTCGAATGATTGTTAAAAAAGTTTAGGGGTCGGACTGATTTAATTCTTTTTAATTTCTGAAGAAAAAAAAATCTGTAGATTCAAACGTATGATGTCATGAAGAGTTTTAAAAAGGAAATTTTTTAATAAATGTTACTAGCGTGCAAATGAACGATTCTATTTCTTTATAGGACAAAAGGACGAGAGGTTTGAAGTTGGAACTATCAAGACCCTGAGGGTGTTAGCACTCGTTTGTTTGACGGATGGTGTTTGTGAATGTAAAACACTACCGTACTGGAGTTGTAAAAAATCAAGTAAAAGATCTATTAACGATTTGTAATCGAATACAAGTCAAACGCGGTGAAAACCCCGGCATTCAAAATTGAAACCTTGTTACATCTTTTGTAGGGTTAAAATAAGCAACTGAGGGGCTACCTTGCCCTCTTCGCTAGGGCGTAGCGTAGAAGCCCCTTTCGATTGGTCAGTAGTTGACGTGTGGTGTGTATTCATCTGCACTATTGGGTCATTCTCACCCAACTTAGGGCGTGGAGTGAAAGTTAGTTTGATTTCAAGGGATCATGGATGTTGGAGGAAAAACAGGTGATTTTGTAAAAATCGAACAATGATCGTTTCACAAACTCTTTTGGGAAAACTGTAAATAGTTGTATGTCTATACTAGTTTCTTTAATTTTTAAAAAATTTTTAAAAATTTTTTTTATCATTGGAAAACATGATTAAATTTTGTATTCCCATCCAAAAAACAGTACAAGGGTTTTTTAAAAAAGTGGCAAGGAAAAATTTTAATTAATTCAAAAAAAAAAAATTTTTAAACCCGATGGAACTAGGAAAAAGAGAAAAAGAGGAGCTTTGGTTTAGGTTTGCACCTCTTTCCAAACCAGGTTTGATAAGACTGTATTGCAATTTGTAGAGATGCCCGTTACCCCCGCTAGGAAGATTCTGCCTTTAGGTGTTCCTTTCCCTTAAAATGGGAAAAAATTTAAAAGTGATAAGTCTGAGACTTTTCTCATATTCAGCTGGGGAGAAGCCTCTTTGAATCTTATTATATTGCTGTGTAAATTGTATTCTAATTCTATGTTTTCCCCCTCGTTAACAATTTTTATTCTTCCTTAAAACCCAAAATTTTTAATTTAACCTTTAAAGTTGATACTGAATAGTTACACGAAGAAAAATTCCTACCGTACCTGTTGACCCATGAAGAAAGAGAAAAACAAAGGGGTTTGGCGAAGGGTTTTGGGGCATTGATCTCACCCCCACTTCAAACGACCCCCAGCACCCCTATGTGGCGGGGGCCCCACCAATGAAATTTTTGTGAGGTTGGAAAACCCGGGTTTGGGACGACAAGTCCTACACTCAGCTACCTCTGTAGCCCCCCGTTTGTACGTGTCTCCCCCCCTGTCTCATAGTTCAGAAATAAATCTCGTGCGATTTACCCTCCTCTCTTGAAATTTCATAAAAATTAATTTAAAAATTAACCACAACCACATTTAACAAAATTTCAAACAAAAAAATTACCAAACAATTCAAAAATTTTTTTTTTTTTCCCTTTTTTTTTTTTTTTTTTTTATAAAAATTGTTTTTTTACATGTTGGCACTTTAATTCTATTTAAAATTAGCTTTTTATCCTCATAACTTTTGAAGGTAGGGAAAAGGCCCTGAAAAAAGTTTCACTGGACTGAGCAAATGCTCAGACAGTCTCGGGAAAGGGACTGTCTTATGGGCCCATCAGTGGAATGTGCTAGCCTTTGATTGAGACGGGTGTTCCATCTGTCTTTTCCAGTCGAAGAAATTGTTATTATTAAAATTTAAAAAGTAATAATTTAACAATTTTTCTGAAGAAAGATAAATTAAAAAAGTCCCACAGTCTACACCGCCCATTTGAGTTCATAATCCTATAAAATAGCATATTAAAATTGTACATACCATTTATTGTGATGGATAATATACCTTTTATTAAAAATTTAACAGCCAATGATGATCTAACAAATTAAAAAGATGAAATTTTAGCTTCTGTTTTTTAAAAGTTAGAACTGTATACTCAGATTCTAATGTAATAAGCATAAAAAAAATGAGATAAAAATTTTGGACCCACTTTTACAAATGTGGCAACAATACTAACCAATGTACACCAGCATGTCGAGCATTCCTTAGCAGCGCATCAAGTTCTGAATACAGACGATCTGATAGAAGGGCAGTGTCAATGTTCTTAGCTGCATTTTCTAGCGACTCTGTTGATATCGGTTTGTTGGCAGAAGAGCTAGCTGTCATTCTAGGGGAAGTAACGATCATTATGATGTATTTATTATTACAATTTTTTTTATTATGATGTATTTATTGGATTGTTTTAAAGTATTATTATGTTTCTAGATAATGAATTTAAAGGAAATGTCTGGATATAAAGAATCTAGAATTTGTAATATTTATAGCTCAAATTGTTGGCCCTGGTGAAATCATGAATGAAATTAATAACAAATCTACTGTACTGCTTAGAAAATGATTTTGAATATCAAAAAGTATATTCGAGGTCATCAAGACATTCTTTGCCTCATTTTCATCCATGGTATAACA